CGAATAGGATTCTTATTCAAATTCGAAATTGAAATTTGATTGGATTTCAACTCAAATCAATTCAAATCCAAATAGGATAATGATTGCAGTTTAAATCCAAATGAAATAAGGATTTGAGTTCAAATTTTTTTAACTGGGTAGCATTTTTAATTTGGGTATATTCCAAATTTTAGAATTTTAGCAAATTCAAATATCAATTTGGCCATATTCCAAATTGAGATTGGGATAAAATTTCAAAGTCAAGCTTTATCTCATTCAAGTTAAAATTGGGGGAAAAGGTAAGGACGTCGAAACCCAGCAACCTGGGTTGGCGGTTGGCACTGAGGAGTTCTCGGCCCACAGCCAAGAACTCTTCAACTCTCCCCAACTGTTGAGCATGCCGGCCCGAACCTATCCCGTCTCGACTTTTGATCTGACATTCGGCCCACGACAAAGTACATGGGCCCCAAAAGTCCAAAATTACTAGAAACACCAGGATTCGACTTTTGTATTTCCTAGAGAGAGCAGGATTCGAGTTCTACAATAAGAGGGTAAACTAAACCCTAGAGGTACGTCAAAATACCATACTCTCCATACTCAACTGCTCCGATTCTGACTTAAGCATCGGAGTCTATGTGGCAAGAACCACACCGGTACTCAGTGCTATTTGGTTTTGCATGTCTCATTGATCCCTTTTATTTTAGAAGATTGGTGCGAATTTGGCGGATTCCCAGGAGGCCAAATTTCTACATCAACAATTGGCGTCGTCTGTGGGACGACTAAAATCTAAAAGTCGAAACGATCAACGAGGAATTAACGGAGAACTGCTCGGACCCGAGGACGTCTAGGATAAAGCGAGTTGACAAGTTCTGAGGCAGGACCCATAACAAATAAATCGATAAATTCCAGGGCAGATCCTGGGTGAGATAAGTCGACCCATCCGAGGAAGAAGATAAGCCACGAACTACTCAGACCTGAGTAGGCCTAGCGTAAAGCAAGTCGACAAGTTCTAAGGCAGGACCGAGAACAAGCACATTGAGAAGTTCCAGGATAAATAATGAGATAAATCGACGGATTCCAAAACAAGCTCTATGAAAAATGAATCAACAAATCCTGGAATAGAGAAAGCAACTTGATGAAGTTTCAAGACATTCAGAAGACAAACTACCTACTTCGAAAGGAAAAGTCGATGGAATGTATCAGAACACAACCCTCCCTTTTGAAAAACTCGAAGAAAAAGTAACCTACGCTCGTCCGAGATCTACGGAAGGGCAAAGCTACTATGAAGATGTTGAAAGATCAACAAGCAACCCATTGAACTGAGAATGGGAGGAAACGATAAGCCATGGAACTTTATTTTTTGTTCAACCAGATCTGATAACTACACGATAGCAAAAGTTAGCGATGCACAGCAGTAGGAGAATCCTGGAAAAAAGACCAGGTCTCGAGAAATCGTGCTCAACAAAGAGAAGCCATCTATCCAACACAAGCAGACAAAGAAATGACAGGAACTTAGTGAAAAACGGAAAGATAAAAGATGTGATCTTGAGAAGATAATGGACCAGGTGGATTCACCGTTCGTGAAAGAGATAATGAAAAAAAAGTCCCTCTGAAGTTCAAATTCCCTGCTATCAGACAGTACGACGGCTCAACAGATCTTATCGACCACCTAGACACGTATAGAGAATGGATGGATATCTACGGAGTGATAGAGGCTATCAGGTGCAAGGTATTTTCATTCACGTTAACCAGAGCGGCCCGCGTCCGGTTTTGACAATTGAGGAAAAAAATCCATTTTCTTCTTCAAAGAATTGGCCAAGACATTTGGACGACGGAATAAGCAATTTTCTTCTTAAAAAAATTGGCCATTACATTTAGAGGACGAAATAAGAGTTGACCTGTGGCCTACTTTCTAACCCTAAAACAAAAATTAACGGAGAGCCTCAAAGAATATGTAGCTCGCTTCAACGAGACCCTTTGAAAAGGTATACCTCAACAACAGTCTCGCTCGAAAAGATGGCCCGAAAAGATGGAAACACCATCTCACAAAAAAAAAAAAAACTAAAGGAAGATATTGCCTATTCCATTGAGGTTAGGGCCATCCAACACAAGAATGTCATGATCTCAAAGAAAAGGTGAAAGAACTCATCCACAAGGGCCACCTCAAAGAACTTGTTGAAGATTCCAATGTAGCTCCCAACAACAACCAAAGCGACAAGTCTCCCATCAAGGAGATAAGGATAATATTAAGAGGATCTGTAGGATGATAATCTAGTAGAAAGAGAAAAGCAAGAATAAAAAAATAACAAGTATCACGAGAATGCTAGTACACTACCTTGAAAAGCAACTGATTAAAATACAAAGTTTCTACTTAAGATGATGATTTCTTGGTTGTTGATCCATTTAAGAGTTTTCTTGACAGTTATAAATAGTCATTATTATGTTTTTTCTTGGTATTTATAAACCGTCGTTGAAAAATATTTCGTGTCAACTATAAACTATTGTTAAAAAATATTTCGTGACAATTATAAACCATTATTAAAAAAACATTTTTTGACAATTATAAAGCTAAAACAGTATATAACTGGAGGTATATGCCAATTACCGCTGAGCTATGCTCGTTTTGGCTAAATTGTTCAAATTTGTTAAAGTTAATTGTATGAGATGCAATTAATATAATGTATGTTGATATATTATGATATAAAGTTAATTTTGAATTGGATTAAAAAATATGAGAGAGATGGATATTATAATTTGATTCTAATATGGTTGATTAATTTAAATTTAATTTAATTAAATATGATTTAATTAAATTAATGGGATATATTAATTTAGTTAACTTAAATTAGATTTAATTTAACTAAATTAATAATTACTTTTTTGTAATTAATTAATTAGTTTTCGGACTTCCCACCTGATAGGAAGTGGGAGGTGATGAGTGGGGAAGTTGTAACTTAACTTCCCCTCACTCTTCCTCCCTTATAAAATGGAGGTTTTCCCATTTTCTTTGGTTTCCCGGTCATCGGTTGATTGAGTTTCTAAAACTCCAACGAGATAATCTCTCTCAATCTCTCGATCTCTTTCTCAATTATAAGATGGTTCCCACAAATCGAGTTCTTACCATCTAAAGAATAGCGAGAAAGGTCTTTTGGTGGCATTGGTGTCTACAATGAAGAAGTGTCTTCAAAGGTATGTTTCACTAACTTCCTTTTAATCATGCTTATGTCTTTCCTTTGTTGTAATTTTGAATCAAGATCGAAGCACACGCGCTTCCGCTGCGAGTTTCGATCCCTTCACCAATACCATGTTGTACTGTTCACAATAGATCATGAAGCTGATCTATTTAATTACTATAGCAATGAATCAATGATCGTTGAAGATTTACAAAGTTTGCAAGAACATAGTAGTCTAATTGAGCTACATGTAAAGTCGACATCATTTAAGGCGAACGACTTGAATGAGATACGACACTATAGATAAAATTTGGGCAGCTTTTGAATGATAGACATTACTATTGTTTTAAATTTTGCTTTTGAGACTTGAGTTGTATTATATAATCTAAACTTTGGACGATGTTTAGTTCTTTTTATATCTTTGTATTACAACATTTTCTCAAAAAAATAAAAAAATAAAAATAAGAACCAGAATCGGGAATAGTTATCAAACATAATTTTGTTTATATTTCTCGTTTTCAAGAAATAAGAAACAAAAATGGTTACCAAATATATTCCTTTTTCTAGTTCTAAAAAATTAGAAATAAGAAATGAGAAATGAGAAATAAGAACATTACCAGACGAGGCCTCAACTTCCTGTTTAATTTCCAAACTATAAAGAAAATGACTTTAACTTCAATTTCCAAGAAGTTTGTTTTTGTAAAATTTAGCATGAGCTAAATTCTTTATTCACTAGTACAAATTTGGATTTCTATGATATTGATGAATAGTAAAAGGGCAGGAAAAGAATAAAAAAAACATCATAGCATGTAAAAAACAGGTTTTGGTGGGAAAAACAGAGTTTTTTGGATTTTTACCTTTTCACGACGTTAAAAAAAAGTCACAAAAAGTAAAAAAATAAAAATAAAAATCGAGCTTCCATGACATTTAAAAAATGTCACAAAAGGGTGGAGGAGCATTTTTTCGTGAAAAGACGAAGATTTACGAACTTTTGTTATTAATGACGTTTCTAAAACGTCACGAAAGAAAAAAAAAGTAATAATTCCATGACACTTAAAAGATGTTACGAAAGGGTGGAGGTGTGTTTTTTACCGGAAAAAAATAGAGATTTTACGAATTTTTCTTTATCAATAATGTTTTGTAAACATCATGAAAAGTCAAAATAAGTTGGGATTGTATGACACTTAAAACGTCACAAAAGGGCAGATGCACTTTTTGGCTGAAAAACACAAATATTTACGAATTTTTCGTTATTTATGACGTTTTGTAAACATCACGAAAAGTCAAAACAGGTTGGGATTTGATGACACTAAGAAAATGTCACGAATGAGTGGAGGCACGTTTTTGGGTGGAAAACAAGGAGATTTATAGATTTTTTGTTATTTATGACTCTTTGTAAACATTACAAAAAGTTCTAAAAAAAAATTGTGATTTCATGACACTTAAAAAATGTCACCAAATGGTGGGAGGTTTTTTTTTTTTTTGCACTTAAAAATATGGCAAAAAATTTTAGTAAAATAAGCAAAATAGCAACCACGTTTAGTTTTTTCAAATATAGCATTTTTTTCATAAAAAACGGAGGTTCAATTATAAAATTACAAATTCACCCTTTAATATATCTGATATATATCTGTAATATATCTTACCACTAATATATATCTCTGATATACCACTGATATAATAATTGTACCACTGATATAATAATTGTAATGACTCCAATTTTTATATGTCATTAATAATATAATATTGAGATAATTACTCATAAAACATAATTTCATTAAAATAAAATAAGATAAAAACTTGTATTTTTCATCTAAAAATGAAAATGAAAACGATAACTTAATAAGACTTGACTTATAAATCTTTAGTAGCAGAAATCACAAAGTTATTATCCTTAAATAAAACAAGTAAAAATGTGGTATAGTCATAATTAAAAGTATAGATTATAAATAAAATTCAACTGTGTCTCATATCTCTTCCTCGTCAATGTCCAGGTCATCCTCGACGTTATTCTCATCAACTATATAACTATCTGTAAAAAAAATTGAAACAACATGGAATGAGTATAAAAAAATACCCAGTAAGTAGTTCTCATCATAAGGAACCTTTCATGCTCAAACACACATATCATGCTTATATGCATGCATACCTCAACCTAACATATAAACCAACGAACAACTTAACTTAAGATACTTGTGTTTGCTAGCATAAACTTACATATCTAAATCCTTAATTTGGCGTCATGCTATGCAGAAATACCCCATACCATAACCGTCAATTCCGCATGTAATATTTATAGGGTAATTACCCCCCATAAATACCATTAACATGAACTAATTTGTTTCCCAGGGCCCAGCCTTTAGCAGAAACCATACATGTGTATATATATCTAGCTGCATAACATAACTGCTTAATTTGGGTATTTCATGCATAACATTAATCTTACCTAAATCCATGACACATAAGACTATTAACTTCACTACGAATGCAATGCATCACACATTATGTCATGTTTTACCTAAACATGATTTGCTATTAAACATACTTAAAATGACATGAGAAAGCTATAGAATCATAACATGCTTTGTAATACATAAAATTTAACCACCATCACCATTCAATAACAAAATATATTTAAGCAACATGAATAACATAATTCAATAACAAAACAATGCAACACATAACATAATTCACTTACAATCAAACAATAATACAACAAAACATACAAGGCGGTAACTTATGATAGAATCCACTTACCTGAACTTCGCAAACTAAAAGAAATTCCTTAAAGCTTCCTAATAACAATTAACACAACTAAAATTAGGACTCAATTACCTAAACTAAGCTTTCTCCAATAAGTTCTCATAACTAGATATGTTCATTATTCTACTAGTAGAAATCCCTTAATAATTAACCTAGTCCATAATAATCATAAAATATATATACACATTTGTGAAAAGTAATTTTAAATCTTCATATTAGCTTCTGATTTATATACTATAATATCGATAAAAATAATTTACTGATTTTGCAAATTTACGAAAAAACTAGAGAAAACACATAGCACTAGTTTTCACAATTTTAAACCGTAGGTAAAACTAATCATAAAAATCAATTCTAATACATTCAAATACATTTTAGGTTAGTTTAAAGGTGCTGGTCATGGTCTCAAAAATTCAGAATTAACAATCCAGAATTTGATACTAAACAAGCTAAAACTATGAAAATAACATAAACCGTTAAAAACCATTATGAAGCAATTTTATGAACATTTTTAGGACCTTTTAAATTCTGATTTTCAGATCTCAAATCAATAAAAATAAGGCCTAAACAGTACCTATTTTATCTTAATAATGAACCCTTAAAATAATTTACACAAGGAAGAATGATGCTTACCGTTGGTGCGTTTTCCTCTCTACCGTAAAGAATAAAAATAGAAAATTTTCAGCAACTAAGAGAGCTTGAAA